GGGATGTCTGGCAGGAAGTCAGCCTTGCCAGCTAACGCAGGGAACTGCTAAGACAGCTGCACCCTGGTCCAACCATCAGAAAGCAAGAGACCTGAGAACTAGAAAGGCGAGGCTCACTGAGCCATTTATCCCTCCGCCCTTCAATTAACCCCACATGTGTTCATTGGCCAGGTTGGCACAATAAACTAACTCAAACATCTATATCTGGTTACTCAAAACTGTTCAGGATGGGGAACACTAGGTTGTATTTAATTAGTTTGGTATTGCAATGTGGTGAAAGATTCCAGGTGTTTTACCTCTTTAGCTTGTGCTTTTCCATCTGTAAGATGAAATGACAGCATTTCGTATGAACAACGTACTGCATCTAAATGTGACCCAACACAACTCATCTGGGCACACACAGAGGGCAGGCATGTACACTTTCACATACTGGTGGCTTAATGAGGTACAAAAGTACTTCATAGGCAAAGTGGTTTAGCTGCCTAGAACAGCACTGCCCCAAAAAGTATAACGCATGTGACGTTCACATTTTCTATTGGCTACACTAGCAATGGAAAAAGAAACTGTTGAAATTCATTTTAACAATATGTATCTAAAATATTTTTCATCTTAACACGTAATCCATATGCACTTCTATTGAGAGGATTTACAGTTTTTGTTTTTGCATACACACCTCTTTGCGATCTCCCATTTGCTCTACACTTCTGGCATATCTCCATTCAGACTGGCCCCATTTCTTCCGGTGGTAATCATGTTGGGCAGTACAACTTGAGAAGGTAGGACACATACTTGCTAAGGGTCTCTATACATAAACAGAGAGGAGATTAGAATGGGGGTCAGATAAGTCTATATTATACAGGTTTTTTTTTTCATTACATGACACCCTATTTCCCCCTAAAATAAGACAGTGTCATATTAATTTTTGCTCCCAAAGATGCACTAGGTCTTATTTTCAGGGGATGTCTTATTTTTCCATGAAGAAGAATATGGTACACATTTATTGTTTATTGTTTTATTAAAAGAGACCTCGCACTTCCTGTCTGCTCCCGCTGCGTTGCGGCCAACAGTGAGCTGCTCGGTGGTGCCTGCTGCTACGGTTCAGAGTCCACAGTTATGGTAGCTTCCCCTCATTTTCGGGGAGGTCTTATTTTCAGGGGATGACATATTTCAGCGAGAGGCAAAACTGTTAGTAGGTCTTATTTTCGGGGGATGTCTTACTTTCGGGGAAACAGGGTATGTGTTTTTTATTTGTATGAAAAATTAAACTTAACAGAACTCAATTAGAACAATATAAAATACTTCAATCAAACACGTGCATAATTGAAATTCAATCGTGAGAAAGCCTTAGAAGATAAATCTAGTTCAACCTCACTCTCCCTTTCATTGTAAATGCTACCCTGGTCATTTAGCTCTAATGTTTTCTTTATTTCTAAGTAACATCTCCATTATGTGCCTATTTTCATAGGTTTATTTGAAAAGCTGAAAAGTCTTTTTTATTATTTATTATTATTATTTTATTATTATCTACGGTTACATTTTTCTGTCTCGTTACAATTACAATTGTCTTTCCTGGAGTTCCTTTATTGTTTTCTATAATGAAACACATTTTATCATCTATGGAACTATTTTTTCTACATTCTTTGACACTGTGGCTTCACAGGCCAACTGTGGTCTAGTTATTTCTTAGCTCTGCGGCTTGGTTGATATTTTCTTTTTCTCACATTTTTGGTTATGACTTTGGTTTCTGACACTTGATTGTCTTTTCTTTGATAGCTTCTTTGTTTCCCTGGTATGCAGCCTCGATTTACTTCCTAAGACTGGGTAAGATAAGCCTGGTGCTTTCTGCAGGCTTACCAATATTTTGTTTTGCCTTCATCTTTCATCGGTAGTTTGGCTCGGCTACAGAAGTCCGGGTTGTGGATTTTTTAAAGATCTCGTGTTGCTATTTTTAGTCTAACCAGCTACCGTTGTTCTGTTTGTGTTGTTGTTAGGCGCCATTGAGTTGGTCCCAACCCACAGTGATGCACACACCAGAACAAAACACTGCTCTGTTTTCGCCATCCTTACAGTTGCATTCCCTGTGGCATCCATCTCCTTGAGGGCCTCCCTCTCTTGCCGCCCTTCCACCACACATGATGCCCTTCTCCAGGCAATGGTCTCTCCTGCTAGGTCCCAAGTCTGTACCACAAGGTGTCGCCACCCTGGCCTCTGAGGGGCACTCTGGCCATCCTTCTTTGCGGGCCCATCAGTTTGCTGCCTTCTTCGTCGGGGGCCTGATTCCCCATCACTTTTGGGATCTTCTCACTGTCAGTGGAAGTTTCCTCTCATTCCCTCATCCTGATAGGGAGTTTAGTGAGCACTTACCTTTTGAAGATTGGCTGTTCTCTTTGACTGGGTATTTTTCTATTGTTATTTTTCCAGTGAATTTCTAACTTATCTCTTCTATTTTTACCTATATTAATCTAATATGTACTTTCTGGGAGTGATTGATTTATATTTACTATCTTACCTTCCTATACTTTCTTCCTCTTTAAAGTCCCTCGGCCCCCCCCCCAGCCCCCCAATGTGGGCAGGTTTAATTTTCCAAAGAGGCTGTACCACATTCCATACTTTTCAAAATACATCTCATTATATTATTGGGGAGCATGTATGAACACCACAAACTAGGTTTCCATCGAGCACGAGTTATAGTCTTTACATTGTGTCAGCATTCCCATTTCTGTATAGTCTTTCTGTTTCCAATAAACCGGTTCCTGGTTCAGAACATTTTCATTTTTGCTTTCGAATCATTGTTGACTCAGGTCCCATTTAGGTGATTTTCTAAAGGAGGGAAGGATCCTTGATGGACTCATATTTCATTCCATTTCACTATGTTTTAACTTGGGACACAAACCGAAAAGGAAGCCTGAAGGAAAGCCTAAGAGCTGTAGGGTGGACAGGGCAAGATTCGTCAACACAATTCACCTAGGGCAAGTCTTGCCACCCTTGAAGAATGAACAGGTGCAGCTTTCCTGGTCTTTTTTTCTCCCAAAACAATTTTCCGTTTTCTTAAAACTTCATCATACATCACCATGATTGTACTGTGCCATTAAAAATATCTATCCAGATTACCTCTTTAAAACACTCCCTTAAAGAGTTTCCATAGCCTTCTGAATGCTATCTTTGCCTTGAATTTAACTGACTCAGTAGATGCCCTTGGAGGTCATTGTTTTGATTGGATTTTTTTTCGGGGTTGGGAGCATTTGAATGAGACAAATACACGTGTATGATGGAGAGAATTTGCCTAAAGTCATCAACTGATTTCAAAGACATTTTAAGGCACATTTATTAAATGTATTATATATTGTATTCTTACAATAAAGCATGCTAGGGAAAAGAAAATGTTTTATAAGGAAGGGAAGATACATTCCCAGCATGATATTTATTTATCTATGCCATATGTTTACATCATCTATTAGCAAGATGAATGCATATTTGACCTGAGGAAGAGGAGGAATGGGAGAGATTGGTATGAACGTCTGCAGGTTGTAAGACGTGGTACAGGAGGAGCAGTAAGAAGGGGAAGTAGGTGAGGTAGGCACGCGCAGTGTAACTTTAGAGAAATATCTCAGACTGTCTGTATAACTGTTTTGCCTTTCCATTTCTGTAAATATATTTTTATACTGTACCAATCCTTCTGTTTGTTTTAGCTGCAGTGCCCATCCTATAGAACTATAGAAGAGTTGCTGTCACAAAAGACTTATTATATATATACATCAAAAGTAGTCTTGATGAGCAAGATCTATT